TCACTACACTTATAACTGAATATGTTTATTTTTTCATTTTCAGTTACTTTAGCATAAGTAGATTATTTTTATTTCGAATATATTAAAAACACGATGATAAAATAACGATAATTATCAATAGGTTTTTATTTTTGTTGTAGAATATGTTAGTATTGGTGACAACTTTTTTTTAATAAAGGTTAGTATTCAAGTAGTCAATAGATTCTGCCTACATGATCATTTACTAAATTTAATAATCAGGAGAAAAAGTTGAAATTATGACGAATAGTAGCACAAATGTTAAATTACAGATACAACTGTAGGTAATTTAATTACTATTTGGAGTATAAAATTCAATGCATATACCAGATGAGTATACCTGAAAGAGAATACTCTCAAACAATTTGAGGAATGAGCAACCTGTTTGCCATAAAGAGAATAGATTATTTCGAGCTAACAATATGATTTCTCATCAGCCTATCATCTGAAATTTAGAAGAAAAGGTGGTAATTTGTCTGTGGAACTTACTTGTCACTTCTGGCTTATATATACTTCAAAGAGTAATAAACTCAATAAAGATATTTTTTATATAAATGGTTAAATGTATAAATGTTTTGGGCTACATATATTTAGCCGAAACTTTTTTAAGAGCCCAATATTATCCTGTTTCAAAATATATTTCATATTTTTCTGGAACATATGTTTGTCTTTTTGTGTTTATAGACGTTAAATATGTAGATATATATGACCGACTCATAAATAAAAAAAAATCTACAACAAATTCTCGTTTTATACCTTCTCGATTTCATAAATTTCCGTTTACCTATAATGATATACTAGCTCAGAGCGTATTCACATATTCTGTGTATATATTCCAGACCAAAGCTGTAGTTTCTCTGTTTACCATAACAAACAGTACCGCTTAGGTATATTTTAAACTATAAATCCTGCATGTATACAGGGAATAACTTTAAAAAAGAGCACATTCCCTCGTAATTAAATTAAATTCAACTTGTAATTAACTCTGTTTGAACTGACTGTAAAAATATTTGTTTAAATATTTTGCGTCACATTTTGTTTAAATATAATGAAGTGAAATAAACTCAAAAACACCGATTTGGAGGTGATTGTTACGAAGTATAAAGTTTGGAGTTTTGGAGTTCTCGAAGACATATTTTAGAAACAAAGCCACGCCTACTTTTCTGAAACTGAATTGAAATTAATTAATTAGTAACAATTAAATCTCACATATTACGGATTAACAAGATTTAGCGATTTATCATTCATCAGTTAGGGACAAACGATATAACAGAAATTGAAAACAGAATTACAGTGTGGTACCTTGATGAAAAATAGTAATGAGTTAGTCTAACTGACAGACAATTTCATCACATCTGCTCGTGGTTGGGGCGGCAATAACTAACCGAAACGTTAAGTAAGATGCGAAATAATATAATACATCCCGTACTACCGAAAATTGAGGGAGGAAATAATTATAGGATACGGTGAATCCTATATACTGCAAAAATTAACTGTTTACTCTTAGTTTATGGAAGGACAAGCGTTATTTTGCTATGTCTATTAATGTTAGTAATAAACCTTTTTCTTAAAAATTTAGGAATTTTAACATCTTAACTGAATCCAAAACTTAAATAACCTGATTTAAAAACCTTTTTTTTCCTTCCTTTTACAAAAAAAAAATCACCAAGAATTTTCGGAGTCAAAATGAATCAAAGAAAAGTAAAAAAGTGATTATAGCACTGTTATGATGAATTAAAAATATGCACCATCTTTATGATTGAAAGATGATTTTGTGGTGATTTCTGAAAGCCCTCCGTCCTTAAATAAATTTACACAAAGAGTCCGGAAGAACATTAACAAAATCCAACAATAGAAAATTACAGGAACCGTTTATCTTTAGAAATGTATTCCTTTCAACCTTGTGGTAGGTATCTTTGTTATCTTTCACTTGACCTGCAATAACATTTGTCACTTATTTTGAAATTATTCACATAGCTTTTATATTATGTTCTTTTAATATCATAAAACTTATAAATTATATTCGCTTATGAACTCTCTAAAATAAGTTTAAATAACGATGTATTAAAATGACATACATATCCGTATCTGAGAGATGTGCCAAATTTTTGAACTTATTAAAGATTCAAAATGCGTCCGTAATTTGTTTACCGTTATAACCTATCTATAATAAATAATCATTTACTTTCCTCTCTCTTCTTTAATACAATCTTGATACAAATTCTCGAAACGAAACCTGTAATTATTATAAAGAAGTTGAAACCGAAATTTAACCTTTATTTTTATACAACCGCTCGTTATCCGTGGCTGTAATACTCTAATAAAATAGCAGAAGCTATTGGTAAAAACTATTATAGAAATCCCTATCAATTTTCCATTAAAAGTGAAAGTGAAAATTCATTTTGAATAAAATAGTCAACAACATTTTGTTGTGTTGTTTTCAAGAATCAAACTTATTTAATTAACTTGTTTATGTATAGGGTTAATTTTCTCCGACAATCAGTTAATTTTATTAAATATAAATTATGTACTGTTTTTAAGTCTTTTTGAGTTTAAAAAGCGTAAGTTATTCTTAAATAAAATTGATATAGAAGCTTAGTTTCAATATGGTTTTAGTATTTTATTTAAACTTTTTACTGGTTCTATACCAAGATATGGACAGTGCTATATCTGGTACTCAGGTATTAACTTTTATGTGACTCTAATGGGAATTTTACTACATTATAGAGAAGATTTTAACAGAAATATTACAAATCGAATAGCCTTTAACATAAATACTGCGTTTTCTTATCTTGACTAAAACAATATGAAATGAGAGGGCATTAACAACTTCGGTAATATTTTATTTAGAAACTTATATTGGAAAATCATTGTTATATGATAAATACCGAAACTCAATAACCTTTAACGCTAGTGAGTTCGTTAAAAGAGAATATTAATTAATAGTTAAAAAAGAAATATAAAGTCAGATTATTTTATAAAAAAAAATTGTGAGATGAATTAGAAGAACCTGGGATTTAAAATTAAGGACCTGAATACGAAAATGAAATATGGCTTAATCAAAATTTTATGGCGTAAAACCTCCATAACGCTCTTAATGTCGGTTTTACGGGCGGAACGAATTTGACGTTATTTACCACCTTATCATGGCGCCTCAAAAACTTTCAAGCTACAAAAGTATTATTCTTATTACATTAATTAAATATAAGACCTTATTAAATTAATTAAATGTATTGAGTAATTTATATATAAATTATTTATTTTAAGGTAAGCTTTATATAATAGTGGATGATAAAAATTGATTTCTTTAATTGATTCAGCATTTATCTTTAAATAAATGAACCAAAGACCTTGATCCATAGACTCGGAGTGAAGGAAATTTGGTAACAAAATTTTCAATCGCTGCCATCTGATTGAAAAAACCAATAGACCTTCAGTTAGTAGAAGAAAGAAATAGTGTCTGAAGGTGAATAACGGATAGTGTACTTATAACCCAATAGATGTCGCTGTGGTAAGTTTTGATTTACTCAAATAAATATATAACTGTGGTGCCATTCTATCTCTAATTTAAACATTCTATCTCTAATTTAAACAACGCTCTAGCCTACAATTTTTAAAAGGTTTTAAGAGGTAAATTAGTTTCTGATTTTTTGACGATTTAAATATAACTTAGTAGCAATAAAAATCAAAATATTGTAATATAAAAATATATTACAGATTTAAACATATACGTCAATTAATACCTGTTATCTTAATTTGAAACTAAGATAATTAAAATATGTATATGTATGTAAAACATATGTATATTTTTGATTTAGATACAACCTTGCATAACTAACCAGTCCTTCAGAAATATTTTTTAATCAAATTAAAATGGAGACGATCCTCTTGTTTTTTAAAATTTTTATTTACAAGTACAGACCTATCAGGTATAATTTTCTATAGTTTAATAAAACCCTATTGCATAATATCAATTTCGGTCATTAATTTCGATCAGAAAAGTAATCAAAATAAATAGATTCAAACTTTTAATAACTTGCCATTTGTTTAAAAAAAAGGTTTAAAAACATTGAATTTCTTTTCAAACCGTACACGTTTATGCTTTGAGTATACAGTATCTAATATGTTCTGCATATAAAATTAGTTTATACTTTACGTAAATGTTTTGCGAGTAAGCTACTCGTAAAATTAGTACCGCTCCATATATGTAGTTACATTTCCTGAAAGGCGGAGTTAGTAGCGGCCGTTTGAAAGAGTTTCATTATGAAATGTTAGTAGAAGTACCGTTTATTTTCCATAGATGGCACTTTTGCCTTTCTTATTGAATATTGAATGAAATTATCAACATATTTGAATACTCCTATGTATTTTATGTATGTGTAAAGTGTTTAAGTGAGTTAGTTCTCAGTTGCATGTTTGCCTTGCAAACCATACTACTACTACTACTTTTTGTCATATACTTTGTCAAAGTCTGATTATGCAAAAAATCTTTTACGATTGTACTTTATTACCAAATAAAGAGTAGTCCAGCTTATTACGTGGTAAGTTCTTGGGATAAGAAACGTATTAATGGGCGCGTAACTAAATGAGGCATTATTCTGTGGTTACTCTGATTAAGTTAAACACCTTGGTCACACGCCTCTTTAGTGGAAAATGTTTTAATCACTTTTAATATAAATTTAAATTATAGATGTTTGAAATATGTACAATTTTAATTCCCATTTGAATAAACATTGGAAAAAACATCTTCTTGAGACAGTAAAATAAACAAAAATTTAAGTTTCTTAAAATACAATATATAAAATTACAAATAAACTGAAAAGGGTCTTGAACTTTAGACGATTACGAAAAATTAAAAATAAAATCTTATAATATATTGTTAAATGTAGACAAATAAATTAAAACACAATAATTTCATAAATTTATTTCTCTCTCATATATTTCAAAGCGGTGATATTGAAGTTGACCTTGAAGTACGACCATTAAGATATTGGTAATAAATCACCAATATTTACTTCAGCCAATATTAAGTTTCCAACGAATTGTACAACCAAACTCAAAGTATCCGCTATATCTTTCTATAAAAAAGAAAACAAAAGTCAATATAGAAATAGGTAAGATTAAGACATGTAACACACATAGAACTCCATAAAAAATAAAAGTACATCACAACATTAAAAAAATTAGTCTCATACAAAATGTATAAAAAATATTAAATACCTCAAAGAATTCTAACATCTCCGGTATTAAATTTCTCAAGAAAGCAGCTATGAAATCACTAATCGCTTGATCTCCGAACATGCCAGTGATAATTGGCTAAAACAATACAAAAAAAAAACATAGAAAGAAAAAGGTTATGGACTATTCATATAAAAACATAAAAATGAAATATTTTCAATGAAAAAGGACTTAATTTTAATGTTTATTCTGTAACATTCATGTTTCATTCTGTAGTAATGCAATACTTTTACCCTAAAAGCTTCTAATCCAATCTGAATTCGACATTCTTCAATTCTTAAGAATATTCCTTCAAGAGTGACCCTGACGCCTAATATGAAGTGGCCGAAAATCCTTGGTTTATCAATTACGAGTCTGTAATTTAATGTTTTTGATAGAAACAAAACGTAAGTATGGTAGGAACGCTATAAGTCGTGAGTACTAATAATAAAAAAAGGCCCATAATAACAGGAGGCCTTTTCTTAGTGTAGATAAGAATAAAATGAAATATTTTTAAAATTTTCAAAAAAATATTGAACTATATGGATAAATTATATTAAATACATATATTGTTTGCATATAAATGAACAATAACATTGAAAGTATTTAAGATTTTTTTAGAGTATTAACGTTAAAGTTTTCTCACCTCATATCCCCTTTCCCATAAATATTTCCTCCGAATACATTAAAAAACAAATCATAGCTGCCTGTAAAAAAATGGCAATGGTCAATATTTGTTCCTTGTATAAATTATTCCCACATCTAACCTTTCTCTTTCCCATATATACCTACTGCTATTAAAACTTTTTTTTAATACGGACTTTAAATTTTATCGCACCTTGAAACTGTATATCTATTATTTATAAGTAGATATAAATAAAACCAAAGAACGTTTTATTTACCAATTAGGATCTGGGTAAAATTTTAGACCAAAATTATGGTGACGCCATTATATGACAATATATCTGGACACCTAGCTTTGCTCGGTATTTAGGAATTATTAGTATTTATTTTGTGTTTTTTTTTAATTTTTAAGTGAACGCGTTAAGAAGACACGAAACAATATAAATCAACAATTAATTTCTTAGTCTAACCTCAAAACAAACACTCATTGACTTCCTGTTATTTAACAAATCAACTGCTGTTGTGTCATTAAGACCCAATTTCACCAATCAATGTTTGTTAAATCCAAACAAGGCTTCTACTAACAAACCTTCAAAAATATAATTATCTATTAAAATATTTACGTCCCACGATCAAAAATTAACAACGAATTATTAAATGTCATGTTAAATGTCCGACTACCAAATTATTCGGTCGGTCGACGAACAATATTATAGCGTTTAACACGACACGTTTGCCACGATGCATCACTTTATACTTTGATCGTATACATATATCCCTCGGTACGTCACTTGTAAGCTAATGCAACCAAATTTTATATATCGTTGATTGTATACATTTAGCACACAAAAAGATTTCTTTTCAATTTATTACGTGTAACTTGTCAATAAATTGTGTTATATATATTGTGTTATAAATATAGGCATAAATTGTGTTCAAATTATAAGAGATAAAAAGAAAACTTAATTTGCAATGTCATAGAAAATTTGGAGGCAAAATCATCATAGGAAATGAAATTTTAATTCACTTTATTAATAATAACAAGGAAATAGTCGAAACTGACAAAACAGATAACGTTACTATGGTTACAATAAATCAGTGCTGTGATTGGACAATTGAGTTTTGACGACGCCATTAACATTCTGTTAGCCATTAGACGGAGTTCGAGAGCTTAGTGGGACGCTCGATGCACCTAACAGACCATCAAACGCCCTAACACGATGTTACTTATTTAAAATTTATGGGTGAAACTGGGTCTAAAGCAATTAGTAACAAAAAGTAGTATTATTCACCAAAAGATTCAGGAAGAATCATATTTTAAAAGCCTCCTTTTTGTTTTTTTTTCATAAAATGACATTTTCTAGAAATAATTCGTAGCTAGATATTTAAACGAAAGAAAACCCCGAAACCCTCAATATACCAAATTTCATGAAAATCGTTGGAGCTTATTCCGAGATTCTAATTATATATACAAGAATTGCTCATTTAAAGATATAAGATATAAAGACTTCACTCATAAAGTTAATAATGCTTTTATAGAATTCGATTATGTACAAAGCAGTCCATACTTAGTATTTTTTACTTAGACGGTATTTATATTTCTTACTTGTGTTGACGCTGACAGCTGGAATTACAAAATCGAAATCCAGTCTTGGTCGAAACCATACAGTTGATAGTTGAAGTTTCTCCACTTCAAATGTACTAATATCTTTAATTACTAAATCATTGATAAGTACGTAACTGAAAAATAAACATTTAAGTATATTTGAAACTGGAAACAACATTTTACTTTGTATTAATTGACCGTTTTCAATCACGATTCCCACCAGAATCCGTTATGCAATTAAACTATCTACAAAGAATAAAGGAAAAGATCAAATCTCAGTATTTTAGTAAACATTATTTTTGTCTTTGATAAAGCATTTCATATGTATCTTTCTAGACTTCAAGTATTTTTTTCAATTCGATAATATTAAAGAAGAACGATTGAAAAAATTACTTCATGAATGTGATTTATTGAAAAATACATTAATATTTTTTTACTTACACACTAAATAATACTGACCTTGAAGAAGGAATTGTCTTATCTCCTAAACTAATCTGTTTAATCACTATTGGATCCAAAACCGGAAGACTATCCGTACCATTGCGCATTATTTGACGAAATCTCTCCAATAATTCCAAAATTACTGATTCTATTGGACCATTTTTTTCTATATCTGAAATAATATCTCAATGAATTTCAGTATTTCATAAAATGAATTAATTTATTTTATGAAATACTGAAATATTCTTAATTTCATAAAATGAATATCATTTATCAAATTAAGTATATATAAATACTGATTAACAATTAATATTTTTTAATTTGTTTGGTGATATTTACAAAAAAATAAATATAATGAATATTTTAATTGCAAAACAATTCATAGAAATCCAAAAATCATGTTTAGTTATAAAATCCTTGTTAAATTAATCTACTTAACGTTATCAAACAATATCAAAGCTATACATCATGTTGTTATTATTCAGGTATTATGGATAATCAATAATAATCATTGCTTAATCTGTCAACGGATTAAAAAACACTTGTTCATTAAAAAATAATCTTAATCACTTCACAGTGGAATGTTTGTTATTAACTCGTCAATAAATACCCAGCATATATTTTTCATGGTCTTATCATTGGAAAAAAATATTTATTGAGAGTAAATAATACATAAACATTAACAATATAAATTATTTATATAAGAGAAATTAATTTGGTACATTAAATTGTTCATAATGTTTTTACTAATTTTAATTAATATTATATTTCACATTGAACACTTACTTGACGTTGCCAGTTCTTCTTTTAATTGTTCTACATTATATTGTGATAAAACATCTTTCAATTCTTCAGTTAGAGTGCTTTTTATTGAGTTTAAATCTAATTTATCGATGGTCTCCTTGAATTTGACATCGTCAATATCTATGATAGACTGTTGAGTCGAAGCTTTTGAAAATCCCAAAAATAACACAAAAAGGTAAAGTGTCCTCATTTCAACTAAAAAAAAAAGAATGAGAGTAAATAAATGTTTTGTAAAACACACGTTTCAAATGAAACTATGACAAAAAACTTAAATATTATACTATAATCTACTTTTTATATTACCTATTATTGCCTTCAGTATAAGCGATCAACGAAGATGCTAAAAAACGAAGTGATTTCACCAATCACCTATCGATGTGATTCTACGTACTATCTTTTTAATACTTTATTATCTTATATATAATATTTTACAATCGACATACATATGTACATACACACATTATCTGATTGAACATTGTTCAATTTATTTGATCAATATAAAAAAAATCATATACCTACATATACTACATTTTACTCTGTCTTCACAGTCGTAGACAGTTAATTCATGTTTCAGGTCTTAACCTAATTCACATTTCGAACATTAATGGATGAAAGTATTGTAACTCCCAAAACAAATTTCTTTCTATTAGTTATTTAATTTTTGGTAATTAAAGTTCACACATAACACACACACACACACAAACACATACACTCACATGTACATACATACTCACACCCACAATCAAGCATCACGCTCTCACGCAGGTATACACACACAAACTTTATTTATATAATTTACTCGTAATGACAAAGTAATAATATTTTTCATGTTATAGTTTTCATTCCGATCATGTATCCTGCGATATAAATTCGAATCTTTAATGAAAAATTTAGACAAAAGATTAAAATTTAATTTAATTGTAATAAGCAGAATACGTGATAAAAATTAATCACGTGTACCTATTAGTCATAAAAAAGATTGTTGGTTATTTTCATAATATTTTATATATATCTTTATTTTTTTTTTAGAATTTTGAATTTCGATACATGTTTTTTATAGCAATTTATTCCTAAACTACGATGAAGTGACAATGTTTAAATAAAAAACCGATTCAGATCTAAAAAAGGTACTAATTTTATTCACAACTATTATCCGTGTTACGTATAGGTATATCGAAACAATTTTTTTATCAAAGAAACTTAATTACAAGAAACGACCCTTTAAATTATTGGTAAAATATCAGCTTCAATAAAGACCACATACGAAACAATAATTAAAACGCAAAATATTACTTTACACTTATTTACTATTTTATAACCTAACCTACATATCTAAAAATAAATTCTATATGTCTGCATAAAAATCGATTAAACACCTAATGTAGATATAGAACCAAAAACTGTTTTCAGTTACTTTCCCATATAGACCAATGCCTGACTAAATAGGTACAATTACTTATAGATATAATTTCTTAATATCCTTATTATAGGTATATACCTAAACGTATGAGAAAAGTTGTATTCAGGTGTCTGAAATCTTTCACCGTATGAATTCACCGTGCGTGTGCCGGGTCCATCGCGTTGTAGGGAGAAGAGCTACAAGTGCCTGGGACTTGTGACCCAGGTGTAGGTTTAAAGTGCCCCTATCTAACGCGCGTTAAACGCTCACCTCCACTGTCCAAGCTCCTCTCACTACCTACACAAATTCGAAAAATTCTTAAGTTTAGTTCTGCCTTCGAGGTACGTTCAAAGAATTTATTAATGTGTGTTCTGGATAGAACCAAGTCTTTTAGTTGGTTGTGGAGAGATTTAGCCTAACCTCTCGCTCCCACTTCTACTGCGTATAAATCAACGACGAACCTATTTCGAGTGAGTTCGTTTGTGAGCTCGTGATATTTATTGACCTTGATGGCATGGTCTTTGGGGATTTTGGTTTCCCAAGGAACCGTAAACTCGATCATCACAACGCGTTTTAAAACCACTTCGTCCAGTCGAAAGATATGAAGTAACAAACATAAGAAAAATGCAGACGAATTGATAATGTTCTCCCTTTTTGAAATAGGTTGAAAATATATATTAACGCTATTGAATACTTATCATAGCTATCCTGTGTTCTTTTATTGATCACAATATCCGATGCTACTTTTATTTGTAGACTAAAATTTACATGTTCAAATTTTACAGTTATAGAGTATTAAGTAAATACATTTTTTTTTCTAAATCTGCTCATACTTCCTAATGTTAATAGTTTTTACTGTAAGTATATGTTAATTCTAGTCTTAGATTAATTTCTTCCATAAATCATTTGATAATTCCAGTTCCTTAGAGTCAAGTTAAAATAATATTGTATGCATTTGTACGTGCGTTGATTATGTAAAATCCGTGTTATCAAATTATTTTGTTTGATTATTGACTTCAGATATTATATTTATGTATATATATACAATAAACACTCCACCATAAGTAAATAATTATCATTTGTCTTTTATACAATAACAACAGCAAATAGTTTTAGTTGCAAGGACGAAATACTTGAAATTGGCATCTTCATTACTCTTGACGAAATGTAAACATAAAAAGTATATAATTCGATAATAACTAGAAACTTGTAGGATAAAATTAAAAAAAAAACTGTTCATACAAAATAAATTTAACAATTCATTTTTAAACTAAAGGCATTAACAAATCATGTATATTTTTTTTCAACGGTCAATCCTAAATGAGTTGTAAAGTCTCTATCAATGTAATGCAAAAATTCAAAAATGTTCAAAGTTAATATTTCTTACAATATTTACATATAAACATATATACATGGATATTTATTACAAATTCGTTGTTTTTAAAGAAAGTGACGCCAACATCGCCTACGTCACTAATTTCACTTCTTCTAGTACTTTCCATGATATTTTAAAATGAAACTTCAATTGTTCTTAATCTTCCTGTATTTCTCGAAAGTTCTTCATAATCACATTATTCAATAGTCCCCACTAACTGAACTCTGCCGTCGTGCGTCCAGACGTCATATTTATACCTAGATTCAAACATAGTTCTATTCTCCTTTTAAAGTCTTTGATTTTGTTTTAATTTTAACAATAATCACTAATCCTAATGAGTTTTAATAAGAATTGATGACAACCTCAAATTATTTTCGTGACGCATACGTTATTAAAGCTGATAGCGCCGATATAAATATTAAACGTGTGTGGTGTGTTAAATAAAATGAACATTAACAATGTGTATATATTTTTATTTTGTTTACCAAAAATGGGTTTATTATAATATAGTGTGAAATTATTGGAATAATTCAAGTTATATAAAATTCACTGAACATTGTATTATCTCCACAGTAATCCCTCTAACCCAAGAACTTGTAAATGTGGTCAAAAAGGATTCTTACTAACTCCATATGTAGTTAAGAATGATGCTGACAACAGTTTCAAGAACATTGTTGATATCGTTCTGCAAAAACAAAAAATAAAATAAAATAAATTTTGTCAATACAATAAGAAATTTTTTAATTGCTATTAAAAGTTATTCGCAATATACCTTATTGTTCTCAATAAAGTTAGGAATTCTTTTGCTGAGAAAATCGTTGACAACTTCAGAACGATCAGAGCCTTGAAGAACTACTCCGAGATCAGACTGCAAATTAAAATCAATTTGTTATATGTTTTGGTTACTTTTAATTATTTAATAATATAGAATTGTAATTATTACAATGGCTTACATCAATACCACCTAGACTGAAATTGAGTGAGAGGCTGCGAAGGCTTACACCGCCGATGATGTCAAAATTGACATAAAGCTCACCAGCAAGACGAATTGCCTTTACAGACGCACTGAAAGTAAAGAAAAAATAACACGCATTCAATTATATGTCATACATAACACCATAATCTTTTAGATTTTATTATAAATACTTCGAGGAAGTATGACACAACGATATGTAATGAATATGGTAATAGATAAAGCGTAATTACATTCTGATATTTAATCGTCAATTCGAATAATTTATTTTTAATGAAATAATTAAAAAAACAACAAATTTAAAGTAGACAACTATATTATATACATTAAATTTGTTTTATAAAGTATTTATTCCATCTAAAATAATTTATTTTACCTTAAATTTTTTAAGTTACAAGTGAATTTAAGATCTTAGATCTTCTTTAATTACTACCTCAAATAAATACTCCTTACATTCAACTAGTTTGTATGAGTTGGTACGGTTGTGTTTGACTTCATTTTGTTCTATTTCTTATGTGAATATTAACTGTTTATTTAAATTGAAAGAAGTTTTTGAAAAAGTCAATAGTAAAGTGAAATAAATGGTATAACAATATTTACCTGCCCTTCAGTCCAGCTTTAATTGGGAAGCCAATTACAAGAGCATCGAGGTTTGAGTCACCTTAACAATAAGATTATAATATGTTAGGGTTATTAAAGTGAAATAGCTATAAATAATAACTGTGCTAAATCTTATTCTTCTACCTGGCAATTTCCCAGCTTTAGCCAGGGTCTGCCTTACATGTTGTGAATAATTTTAGCTAATTCTTTATTACGACCGGGCGCCTGTCTGACATCAACCCTCTTTGTTAATGCATTAATCCGTGATGACTAAATACTTTTAGAAAGTACACATGACTCGGACAAATCACATTATACTTGCAAGGAACGAACCCGCACCCTCATGCATGAGAGGCGGGACTTTGACCGCTAGGCCACCACTGACTTAATAACTAACTTAACTGTGCTTAATATTGTTAATAATGCACAGGGACACTTACCAATTGATAGAGCTACTTCCGGAAGAGAAATTACGATACGGAGTCTATTAAAGATATAACTGTACTCCAAGACATCGATACTAATGTCACTGAGACCATAGAATTGAAGATTTTCAATGAATGCTCTAATTACAAGATCACTGAAAAATAAAAACATGAAATTACTTTATCAGAAAGTAGTAGTAGTAATGAAAATTCTATAATTTGGTATATTAATATAAACCAAAGATGCAGCAGCTACCCATCTAAGCTTATTACAAAATAATCATTCAATTTATAGGTTTAATTAAAAAAAACACAACTAACATTGTTATCGGAATAAATTCAAATTCTCTATTTTGAACTTCCAATGGATCTAGACCTGCATTTTTAATACCAGCACTGATTCTCTCGACTGCTCTTCGGATCGAATCTTCCACGGGATTTCTTTGGCTTAACTCATCGTTTGACTCAACTAAAAGGAATATTTATTGATGTTACTACTCATATTGCTATTGGGGTAACAATTATTCATATTGAAATAGTGGCTTATAGATTTTTACCTACAATAACGTCGTCTCCTTCGTACGGGAGTGCAAAAGCACTTGCGACGACAAACAAGACAGCGAAGACTTGTAATTTCATATTTAATATTTACTGTAACAAATAATATAATTAAAAAAATCTTAACATACTTATTTCCTCATATTGAATCCAAATAATAAATATAAAACATGAAACAACAATTAAAATAAGATGTATTTTAAGAAAAACCAGAATGTTCTATAACATATTTTAATTTTAATTAATATATATGAGTTAACTACTTACTCACCTAAATGTTTAAATAAATGTTCTTGCAATTGATTAATGTGTTCTATTTATAATAAAAAGTTATCAAATCCAGATAAAACAACAATAAGTAAAAAATAATAATTTATCATAATCGTTACATACTTTTATCTGCTTTAAATATTAACTGAAAAATTCTTTAAATGGAAAATCCAAAAATGAACTCCTCCTCATCTCATTTTTAAAGGTAGCATAAAACTTTTAAAGTGGATATATGTAAATATGTAGATGTACATTTTCATGTGCCAAAACTCTTAGTTTGTGTGAGGGGTAACTTTAGTAAAATTTCTTGGTAATTAAAATTTAAATGGAGTTAAAAAGTTCCAAATAGCAACTAACTGTTGGGTAAAGATAAAAAAATAACCCTTTTGAAAGACTCTTTATTGTGAGAAAGGCATCAAAGGCCAATTATGTTCCATTTTTAAAGCAGAAAATTATTGTATTTCCTTCAACATCCTGCGTATTATAAATCAAAATATTGTATTTACATTAAAAACTATTAGAATTCCGTGCATAAATATGTATTAAATATACATATATTTAAATAAATATGATGTATAAAAATATTTGTAAATAATTTATATTAAGTTTGTAAAAATAAAATATATATTTGCTTTTCAATAATCCAATTTAATACCTAACTAAATATACTTATATACTTAGAAATCTAAATTTTTCTGATGTATCTTTGATTATTCAAAACTGGCGTGACTTTCACGAAGAAGGACTAATTACATATAATTTATTAAATACTGCATCATATTATCTTTTTCAATTAAACACTGTGCCCTCGTTTTAAATTATATCGTTATCTGTCTGATTTTGTATTAAAACCCGATTGCCCGGTGCCAATCGCTTCATGCGTCATACACTGACTTATGAATACAATCTATCTCATATCAAGGCGTAACCTATATAATTTTGACTATGGTATAGTTTAGAAAAGGTTTTGGGTTCTATTCTGTATTTTTGCTGGTATCTCTCAATGCATAGTTTAAACCACCAAACATAATAAGTGCATATTAGTTTCATACTAGATATATTACTTTTGAATAATATGTGTTAGTATAATGATCTTAAAATACCCGTCAGCAGATTCTAAACTAACCTAGCACCATTAATATTCTCAAACATTCTTACATTGGGGTTGGTGGGTGCTTTGATGAGTGATTAAAAATAATAATTGTAGGCAATTTTTCATTTAAACGATAACCATCCAAAAAGAGGCATTTGCATCACGGATTTATAATCCCACAATATTTTCCATAGAGCCTTAAGTTACAAGTCAATACTGAAGTTTACTATATACAAGGCCAACTAATCTTAATGACCCCATAATGTAATTTATGAAATATTTTTTTCTATTTAAGCATTTTATAACAAAAAAAATATGTTAATTTTAAAATATTCAGTGTATTTCCCATCCGTGTCTGTTTTATTGTCCGTAACAGTGTCTGTGTATAAAATATAAGTAAGTTTATACGTGATTTTTAAGACCTATGTTTGAGTATCTATAAAGCAAAATGTTAGGATCGGTATTTATTTCCAGCAAAATCTTTATTTTTATTTTAATTGATTGATTTGATTATTTTTTTATGACAGATGACACTTATCACTGAATTAAAATCTTTCATAAATGAAACAAAAGCCAAAGTTTTTATTAAATCATTAATTTGCAACAAGGCCATAGAAAATATTTGAACGGCTTTTCCGAGACCTCTTGGAAAACACTTTAAAAAGTTTATTGCCATTAACTTTAGTTCTATTATATCAGATAAGTACCACGTTCGATAATAAAACTTGTAAGATTCTAAAACTCTCTAATACAAAACCCTTTGTAATGATTTAAAAGTATTATAAGCTTCTAGTCTAAGGATTATCACTTATAATTATTATTATATTAAGATAACTCAGACATTTAAATATTTCGTTTTCAGATCCATAATGTGCTTTTGAATGAAATGTGTTGCTAAGAACGGTTTGATTTGATTCTAACGATTTCTTTCATCGCCCCGCATTTATAAATTACATTTTCACACACATTCGCTCCTGTCTGCGCCCTTCGTACTAAAGGAACGGATAACTGACAGCAAAGGAACAGTGACTCGACTACGATAATAAGAATCCAAGCGCTCAATCCAAGGTGGAATGTTATTATTACCGCAAAGATAAACCCATATTATTATTATTATTTTCGGGAATTTTGTTTTTCTCAGCCTGTAAGCTGGTGTAAACTACATTCACGGACATAAATCAAGTGAATGCAGTATGTGGTGTGTATTATTTATGTAAATATGAACTATTTATGTTGTTGTGTCATTCTCTTCTATTATTATTATTATTTATTTATATAATACATTACAAATTTCTTTTACTGTGTTACAAAATCCCTCTCGGGTTTATCCGTACACCGGCATTCACTGAGAGCCTTCGGTACTTTTAGTACATAAATATACTACCTATAACACTATAAACTACATAAGATTTTGAGTAACATATGTTTGTTTAATTATAACTCATATGTGAGAGTATACATTGAAAGATTTTAAAATTATGTTAATAATACAATAGGTACTTACGATGCACTACTCTTATATGAACTATAATATGCTAGGGGTGAACAGAATTCAACCAACAAAACACACAAGCCCCTTGTACCAGGTCCTTTAAGTCAATGTAGTTGCCCAGAGCCGGATCGCTGCACACAAATAGCTGCCAGGAGCCACTAGAGAAAATTGTAGATATCAACAATAATTTAATTGAGTGTTTCTACGAATAAAACACCAACTGAACAGTCCGATAGGGAAAACTCAGTAAATCCATAAAATATGTATATATTTTTCTTATACAGTATTTCTTGATTCTTTCTAATACTTAACCTTTAAAATTTTATGTAAAAATTAGTCTTACTGATCAACATAAAAACTGTAAGTAATCAAACATAAATGGTTTAAATAGTGTTAATAAAGTATATTGCCCCTGTATAACTATGATAGCAATGATCAAGATTTCATTGAATTATTTCATTGAATTATTACCCGGCGAACTTTGTATCGCCCTATAATCAAGAAATATCTGTTACCTTTTTATCTAATGAAGTTGATTTCCTTAAACCTCTGAATGGAGTTTTGTCTGGTTTAACCTGATAAACGTTAATCACTCAGTTTCTACTTTTACATACATTTCAACAGCATATTGGTGAAAGAGACTCCAACATTTTAAGATGTGATTGATCTCAACTTCTCCAACCATAAGCCTGTATAAAGAATAATTAATTGAACTAACTTTTTTATTACTTTCAGAACCTAAAACATTTTTTTTGTGATAAAATTATATAAATTACTTAATACTATGATAAACATTAAAAACTTAAAATGTTTATTTACCTGTAACTGGATTTATCATCTTCATTAAAAAATGATGCCCATCTTCACCTTGCCAAAATAAGATAGGATATTGATGTGTTTCGGACACACACTGCAGTTGACTGTTACATCGTTGTAAAACAATTTTCATTATTATTATATATTGATATATATTGATTTACATTTTCACCCACAATAACAATAGCAACTTCATCGATTGTTGGTGCATTAAAATACCTTATGTGTTGCCCTACAGGCGTCTTGTTGGCTTCAATAACAATTTTGTGGTTTTCAGATGGCATGTGAGCTAATGCAGTCTTGAATAATGCAACCAATGTGTTGTGTAGATGTAAAAATAATTGGATCTGTTCCACAACTAGTCTTTTCACAGAAAAGTTGTCTGCACAACACTGATCGACTTGTCTTCCTGAATCGCCCATGAAATAAATTTGCAAAAATTTTAAGTTACTGACTGGCACTGGCAATAAGGAACCTGTCCAATGATATATTTGTCCTTGAATCTGCAAAGGTAAATATTCCCGTATTACATATACATATTGTTAAGTGAATTGTACAAACCACCAAGTGAAACTCAAAATACTTTGTGAGCACTACCATTGCCTCCATAATTTTTTTTAACACATTTCCTTTTGGCTACCTAAAGTAATTCAAAGAGCTACAAATGTACTTTAAGCCATTTCAAATGATACACCATTACAATTGAAAACTGTCAACAATAGTGGTAAATGTTTTTCAATACACTTACCTTAAAAGTTGGAATAGAATTTATTGTACTGTAGTCCATTTCTTTGTTATAATTAAATGCAGCTCTATAGGGGTTAAAAGCAACACAATATTGTTGGTTTCGGTTCCATCGATTCCGTTCAACTTAATTCCGCGTTCCACGTTGCTCATCAGTTAGACTTGCTCTTCTATATCTTTGACTTGAGGCATTACGGGTTCTGCGACTTAAGTTTGTACGTCTAATTGCCGGCATTTTTGAAACAAATCTTCAACTGAAAATAAAAAATATTTTTATAATTCTATTCCTAATCTTTTGTAATAATATCGAAATGGTCTATCAAAACTTTCCAACACTATAATAATTTGACTTAGGTACCTTGTTGCACAAACACTTCAGAAAAAAACACACAGTACAAATTATCCTGTAGAAACATTGTGAAAATTACACTAAGAAATGGCAAATGAATTATGTAGGTATTTTATTATTATAACTCCGGCCGCAAATAGTAAAACAGAATACCTATGTACACGTATAAAACCACACAAAACAAACAAATTTACTCTTTGTAAACGATTTGAAAGAATAACTGATCTTTTAAGACAGAGACAATAGTTTTTTTTTGGTTATGTTCGTTCCGTTCAGAACAGGCAAAGAGAACAAAGCCCATACAGCCATGTCTTTTG